AGACACAAAGAGGCAATCGGATGGTCAGAATTCTGTACGTTCCACTACTCAAGTCAACAACTCTTTGGATCCATGGAATCCGAACCTGAACGGGTTTTCTTAGATAAGTACAACGCGTCGGATGTTGATGGGTTCAATCGGGCGTTGAGACCCTTGTTGACTAACTTGAGCAGCCGCGCGGCTGCCGGAGGACCTCTTTTCAAATATGCGGCAGATAACACGACCAGTCCGAGTTTCCCTTCGGCAATTTACGCTCTCGAGCAGTGCACTCCCGATATATCGCAGACGGATTGCAGCTCTTGTCTAGCACTGGCAATGGGAAAGATCGATTTTGTCTGCTATGGGAAGATCGGATGCAGTGTTCTACAACCCAGCTGTAATTTGAGATATGAGACCAGACCATTTTTTGCAGCAGTAGAAGACATTCCTTCTCCACCGAAAGGTAAAGTGTGCTTCTTTTCTTGTCGGGTAATTGTACTATTAGGTAATTAGATTATAAATAATTCAAGCTGTTAGTGAAAACTTTTGGGTTGTCCAGGAAATAGGAGCAACAAAACTCGAATAATCATCGTAGCTTCGGTTGTCAGCATTCTGTCACTTGTCCTCTGTATTTGGATCCGTTTAAAACTCAGAAAGCCAAGGGAAATTGTCGAAAGTAAGTAATACTAGTATTTTAGAAATGCACTCCTTCTGCTGGAGAATGCTTATATTCTTATTCCCATTCCATGTATTACTTTTGGCAGCTGCAGAAAGAGATGAAATGATCAAGGCCGAGTCTTTGCAATATGACTTAGCCACTATTCGGGCCGCAACTAATAACTTCTGTGATAAAAATAAACTTGGACAAGGAGGATTCGGAGCAGTTTACAAGGTAATGATGTTATGAATCAAAAGAGAACATTAATTATAGTACACCTTGGTGTGTTGAATTAGCTTGAAATTTGGTATTCATTGAACTTAAATTTAGTTAGTACCCCCCTGTTTTATACATAGGGCAAGCTTCCAGAAGGACAAGAAGTAGCCGTGAAAAGGTTATCTAGTGCTTCTGGACAAGGAGACTTAGAATTCAAAAATGAGGTCCTTTTAGTAGCCAAACTTCAACATCGGAATTTGGTTAGACTCCTTGGTTTCTGCTCGGAAGGAGATGAAAGGCTTCTCATCTACGAGTTTGTGCCAAACAAAAGCCTAAATCATTTCATTTTTGGTATGTGCATGCCTTTTAGATTTTGCTTTTGATTCAAATTTCAATTCTATTCATAAATAATTATAATGAGTTTGCATGTTTGCAAGGGTTACACATTTATGTTCTAGTCATCTTCAAAGCTCTCTACCCCTTTAAATTCATATCCTAGTTATTGATTAGAGACATACTCTCATATGAACTATATATGAACATATAGATCCAATCAAGCGCGCACAACTAGATTGGGAAATCCGTTACAAAATCATCGAAGGCGTAGCTCGTGGCCTCCTTTACCTACATCAGGATTCTCGTCTTCGAATAATTCATCGTGATCTCAAAGCAAGCAACGTTTTATTAGATAAAGATATGAATCCTAAGATTGCAGATTTTGGGATGGCAAGATTAGTTGTAAGAGATGAAACACATGGCGATACCAAGAGAATTGTGGGAACTTAGTAAGTATTAAAAAGAGTGAAACTTTGAATTGTTTCTTATACAAATAAATGTCCAATTAGCTCTGTTCCTTATTGACAACATGAAAGTGCCAAAGATAGCCTTCTCATGTATTCCATTAAGAAAATACTAGAAAATGAGTTTATCATTTTTTATCTTGAAAATGATCCCATTGCTATTGATACACTTGCAGTGGGTACATGGCTCCAGAGTATGCAATGCGTGGGCAATTCTCAATAAAGTCAGATGCTTTCAGTTTTGGAGTGTTACTTTTAGAAATCGTTAGTGGACAAAAAAATAGTTGTTTCCAAAATGAGGAGAACATAGAGGACCTACTAAGTTATGTACGTATGACAATCGATACTTACTTTATGTTTCTTTCTCGTCTTGTGATAAATAAAAGTTCAAATCTTTGCTGGTTCTCACTTTGCTGCCTCATGTGTGTGTGCTTTTATAACCTTTTGTAGGCATGGAAAAGCTGGAAGGAAGGGACAGGATTAAATCTCCTAGATCCAACTTTAAGAAATGGTTCAACAGCCGAAATGATGAGATGCATCCATATTGGTTTGCTATGTGTCCAAGAAAATGTTGCTCACAGACCAACCATGGCTTCAGTTGTTCTCATGCTTAGTAGCAATTCATTTAGTCTCCGAGTGCCCTCTCAACCAGCATTTTTTGTACACAACACCAATGCATCAGACATGCCGTCCTCATTTGGTTCATGGATATCAAACACGAAGAGCTCAGAGGAACAATTTGCCCCCTTGTCAAATAATGATGTTACAATCACAGAGCTATATCCTCGATAGTTTTTGAGAGTCAAAGCTACAATAAGATTTGTATTGTCAACCTGGTTCAAAATAATGTTAGAATTCGGTGATTAGATGCACTGGTATCTAATACTAGTTCTTGTAAGCAAAACTACTTCCAAGCACAAAAATACATGTATGATTTGATTCGGGTACTGGTTTCCTTCTTGTATAATTTGATACAATGTAAAGTTTGGTATTCGTTTCTTGTAAGCGAAATTACTTCCATTTACTGATTCAGTGTAACATTTTATATGGTCTTGGCTTATTCCATCTCAATCAAATTGACTTGTGTAAGGTTTTCATAAGCTTCATATACTTGAAATTATGATTGTAAAATTATATTGAGAACAGCTTCTACTTCTAAGATTCAAAGGAAGGAGAAGATGTCAAAAAATCAGTTCATCACAGACATATTTCCCAACACAGTAAATAAGAAATTTATTCGACATGAAATTCAAGTCATGCAAGAGGCATCCACAATATTTTACTTCTCTCTTTCACATAGGAGATAAATCCAATCTCTCTTACCGTTTCTCCATTTCTGTTACCAAGCCCAAATTGAAGTTTCTTTCAAGAAGATGACTCGAAGTCCTAGGGAATGCAGGTCAAAAAGTATTTGGAAAATAAAAATCCAACATGAATGATACTTCTATTTCAGACAATTCAAAGCTTTTATGTTCATTAGCTTGTAGTTATATTTTCTAGGTTGTCCAAAATACATAAATCCTTTATTTCGGCTGCTGCATTTGATGGGTATATGGCTCTAAAGTATCTTCTAAATGTGAATTTTTCAATTAGTTAAGTCTCATGTTTATAGCTTTGGTGCTGTAGCTCTTGAGATCATTAGTGGCTAAAAATCCATCTAAAAAAATCTATCTCAGTAATAAAGAAGAATTAACCATTAAAAGTCTCATATTTATTTTATTTTTTTGTTGGGTCAAAAATTGATGAAAGCATTGGTCCGTTTCACATCTTTCTTTCTTTTTTTCTTTTTTTTTTTGGGCACGCTACCCAAAAGAAAAAAAGAGACCAGTTAAACGATAAAAAAAAAGGTCGCCTGCTTATTCCCAGAACCCGGCAGAGTTGCCGGACTCCGGCGGAATTCCGGCCTAGCTCTGCAGTTTCTGGCAATTTCACAAAAATTCAAGAAAAATTCCAGAAATTTTCTAAAAATAGGAAAACATATCCTAGGCATAAACCAAGTTAAACAGAGTTTGTTTGTACAATAACTTCAACGATTTCAAACCTCAATTCCAGAAAAATTCAACCACAACAATCATCAAACAAAAATTTCAGAATAAATGTACACAAATGTAGGAGCAAAAATCAGATTCTCATTCAATATTTAAGCATGATGTACACGATATGAATCAACAACAAATTTGGAGACAAGGCTTCCACGTAGATCCCTTCACATGGGATGAAAGAGGAAGGGACCAATTTGGAGAGGACGGGACAAGGGGTGGGCAGTCGGGTGGGTAACCGAATGCTTACCCAGAAACTGAACTGAAAAAATGAATTCGATTAGGTTTCAATGGTTTTTGAGTTTTACTGTTTTGGTTTTGATATTAACAAAATAAATTTCAGTTTGGTTTCAATTGAATCTTTCACAAACCAAAAACTGAAAATAAGTCTTTTGAAAATTAAAATTTGGATAAATATGACAAAATATGATAAAATATGAGATAAAATATAATTTATTATTGGAAAAAAAATTGATTAGTATTTATTTAGTAAAAACCAAAACCGAACCGATTGACACTTGGGTCCCTCACTTTAGACCGTGTAATAATTAGGTCCCTGCAAAACAAAACCAATATTTTAAATTATTTTAATTAAGTACAAATTGTTAATAAACTGGAATTAATCTTTGGTTTTTCTTCGACCAATTTCAGAATGAATTTCAAAATCATATTAAAACTCAAATAATTTTGTGAGTACAGGAAGATAATGTCAGCTGACATGGTTGGTCAAATAATGGGTTATTTGTCCAAGTCAAAAATTTTAAGGGTGGATTTGTCTCTTTTTTTGTTCAGAGGTGGATCCATCCCTGTTACTATAATTTGAGAGTGAATTTAGATAATTTGTCAAATATGAACTCTAAAATTATAGATTTTGGCACGGCAGGTTATTAGTAAGAGATGAAACATAAGGTAATAGCAGTAGAATTACGAGAACTTAGTAAGTATAAAAAATAATGAAACTTTGAATTGTTTCTTATACAAATAAATATCCAAGTAGCTTTGTTCCACATTATAAGCATGAAATTACCGAGAATGGTTTTCTTATGTATTTCATTAAGAAAATTTTAGAATTTGAGTTTATTATATATGTATATACATATCTATTTTGAAAATAATCTAGTTGTGATTGATATACATGCAATGGAAACATGGCTTCATAGTATGCCATGCATAAGCAATTCTCAATAATTTTAGATGTCTTTAGTTTTGGTATGTTACTTTTAGAAATTGTCAGTAATAAAAACAAAATAGTGTTTTTGAAATGGGAGAACGTAGAAGACCTACTAAGTCATATATGTAAGTACGACAATCTATAATTATTTTAGAAAACTAAAGTGCAGTCCATCCTGCGTGGACTTCACCACAACACTCTACTTATTTTATGTTCTTTCACGTATCGTGACAAATAAAAGTTCAAATCTTAGCTGCTTCTCATTTTGATGCCCCATGCGCATGTGCATTTGTGCATTTGGAGCTGTTTTCAAGGTAAAGACTTTTAAGAACCAGAAAAGAGCATCAATCATCCATCTACATGTATTGAACTGAAATGTAATGCTATTTACAGTGCTAGCTTCCAAATAGACAAGACGTAGCAGTTAAAAGACTATCTAGGGGTTCCAAACAAAAGGAATCCGAGTTTAAGAATGAGGTCCTCTTAGTGGCCAAACTTCAACACCGTAATTTGGTTAGGCTTCTCCGTTTCTGCTTGGAAGGAAAAGAAAGACTTCCCATCTACGAATTTGCGCCAAATGCAAGCCTTGATAACTTCATATTTGGTAGGTGACTTTTCCATTTTTTTTTCCTGGAGTCTAATTTTAGTTTTTCCTTCTTGAAATTTTACATTTTTGTGCAGTTACTCTCATTAGACGTTTTGGTCATTTACAAAGCCATCATTTAAAAAAAAAAAAACAAATTGATATCTTATTTTGTCTTAATTAATCACATGCTAGCATGAACTATGAACATATATAGATCCAATAAAAAGTGCGAAATTGGATTGGGTAAGGGGGTACAAAATTATGGGAGGCATTGCTCAAGGGTTTCTCTATTGTCATGAAGACTCTCAACAGTGAGTTATTCATCGCAATCTTAAACATAGCAACGTTTTACTAGATGAAAAGATGGATTAAAAAATTTTAGATTTTGGCACGGCAAGATTGTTTGTAGTTGATGATACTCATGTTACTACAAATAGGGTTGTAGGAACATAGTAAGCATCACAATCTTAGCACCAACATTTCATTAGTTCATACCCTTTGTAAATTTTTCTTCATATTTCTTAAAAATGTATTGCTGTGGATATATGACTCTAGAATATATTAAACATGGACATTTCTTAGTTAAGATAGATATTTTCAGTTTTGGTGTGATTATTTTGGAGATTGTGAGTGGTTGAAATAATAACTATCCTCGCAATGAGGAGAATGTGACAAATTTAATAAGCCTTGTAAGTATACGCGATTAACATACATAAATTTCAACATTTTGAAAGATTAGTTTTCTGTAGTGTAAAAGGTGTTCTGATTTTGATTTTTGCTACAGGCATGGAGAATTGGAGGGAAGGGACTGCACTAAATATTGTAGAGCCAAATTTGAGAGCGGGTTCAATAGTACAAATGATGAAATGCATCCATGTCAGATTACTTTGTGTGCAAGAAAATCCGCTACAAAGACCAACTATGGGATCAATTATTGTAATACTTACCAGCAATTCTATAGTTCTCCCAAGACCCTCATACCCTGCCTATTTGTTGCAAAGCGCGTACAATGATACTTTGGGGGTTTTCTTATTCATGGCTGTTGAGAATTTATTGATGTGTAGCTAGATTTCTTGAACTAGGGATGGATGGATTTTAATTTTGAATTATGTGAGTGTTTTTTTTTTTTAATTCAAGATTTATTGGCTATTTGCATGATGAGTTTATGTTATTGAGTTTAATGCATTGAGAGTCTGATCACCTTTCAATTGATTTAATAATTTATGCATGAAGTTGAGAAAGAATTGCATTAATTAGACAAATAATAATACAAACCATGTGCTAGACTATGAGACCGAGAGGTAATTAGTTCACATGTGATAGTGGAGGAAGAGAAGAGAATTAGGAGCTCCCTCTTCTTAACTTAAATGTTTTCATAGAATTTAAGGCTCATTAGTTTGTTTAAAATTATATAGAGATATGATTAATTTAACAAATAAGTGAAAAATTAGCTTGACTTGAGAAAGCTGGTTAATTAATTTAGGGAAATCCACCATCTCATGCGATAACACTATTATTTGGGCTTGAATGAAATTTCATTAAACAGTTGCATAATTCAGAATTAAATGAAATCTAAGCTTTAGTTCCTTTCCATTTATAGTTTCTTTTACTTAGAAAATTCCTTTAGTTTAAATAGTTTTATTTTAAATAGTTTAGTTTTACTCCATTAATTAGTTAATTCAACTTAAGTTAGATTAATATTGTCTTCATAGTGTAGAATAGTCCTCGAAGAAACGATATCTTACTTATCTTATACTTCATAATCGATTAGGTTCACTTGCCTAAGAGTGATGCATATTTGGTCAGTGGCGGAGCCAAGGGGGTGTGAGGGGCGGCGCTTGCCCCCCCTGAAATTTGAGAAATCTTGCAAATTAGTATATGAAAAATTATCTAGCTCCCCTTGAACTTTGAAAATTTTAGTATCTTGCCCCCCTTGAAAAAAATCTCTGCCTCCGCCCCTGTATTTGGTGCATATTTGGTGCATCAAGTTTTTGGTGCCATTACCAGGGACTAGTCATCTACATATTAAGATTAATAATTTGGCCTTAGATTGAATTTTTTTTTTCTTTTTCTTATTATTAATCTAGACTTGAGTAGTTTTTTCTTTTTGTTTTGAACAATTAGTAATTAATTTGCTCATTTCATAGTTTAATTCGTTTTTAGTTTTTTTATTCTTTATTTATCTTAATTATTATTTTTTTTTTTGCAAGTTTACTTGTGCATGACCCGTAGTAGTGGTGGTGATCTTGTCCCTTTTGACCTAGAAATAGAAAGAACTTTTAGGGAGTTTTTAAGAGAGCAAAAGCATAACATCATGGCGGAAGAAGGTGAAGGTCAAAATAATGCACACACTCTTAGTTCATATGTCACCCCATCCATTGAAGGAACAACATCTAGCATTAGAGGCTAGCGATTCAAGCCAATAATTTTGAAATCAAACCAACTATCATTCAAAAGGTTCAACAAAGTGTCCAATTCAATGGTTTGCCTAGTGATAATCCTCATTCTCATATTGCTAATTTTCTTGAAAATTGTGATACTTTTAAGTTTAATTGTGTTAGTAGTGATGCTGTTAGGCTTACTCCATATCACCCTTAAACAAGTTGGCAAGCTGAGGTGTTTAATAGGGAATTAAAAAGAATTTTGGAAAAGATAGTTAACTTGTCTAGGAAAGATTGGTCACTTAAATTAAATAATGCACTTTGGGCTTTTTGGACAGCTTATAAAACCCCTATAGGTATGTCCCCTTATAGGTTAGTTTTTGGTAAGGCTTGTCACATTCCTGTGGAACTTGAGCATAAGGCATATTGGGCTGTTAAATACTTGAATTTTGATTTGAAAGATGCAAGTGAACTTAGAAAATTGCAATTGAATGAATTGGAAGAACTACGACTTGGTGCGTATGAAAATGCCAAGATTTATAAGGAACAAATGAAGGCATGGCATGATCTACATGTGCAAAAGAAAGAGTTTCACGTGGGAGACAAGGTTCTTCTTTTCAATTCTCAATTGCAACTTTTCCAGGTAAGTTGAAATCACGATGGAGTGGTACTTTTGTGGTGACCAAGGTCTTTCCTTATGGAGTTGTTGAAATTTCACATGATATTAAGCAACTTTTAAGGTGAATGGGCAAAGGTTGAAAATTTATGTTGTAGGTGGTAATTTTTCTGCATTTAACTCCACCATTTTATTGAAAGATCCTTGACAGTTTTGTAGTGATAGTCAAGCTAATGACTATAAAGAAGTGCTTAATGGGAGGCAACCCATAAAAAAAAATAAAAAGAAAAAAAGAAAAAAAGAAAAAAAGAAAACTGTTCTTTCACGTTTTTCTGCTTTAGTTTTCAGCTCATTTTCGTGAATTGTTTCTTTCCTCTATTCATTTTCTTTTTACTAATTTGTATTGAGTTTTTTGGCTGGGTTAGCTTTTTATTGCACTGTAGCATCTTAGGCAACTACAACAAGATCTTTTGGCTATAGAGAAACGCATTGCATGTCTACTGCAGGAAGAGCAAGATAAGGGAGTATTGTTTTTCTTCTCTTATTTATTTATTTTTTTTAACATTGAGGACAATGTTAATTTTAAGTTTGGGGGAGAATATTTTTGTGTTCTTGCTTTTGTTTGAAGTGATAAGAGTATTGATGCATGCGTGTGAGTATAATTTTCTAGCATGGTGTGATTATAGTCAATTGAGCCTATACATATTTTGTTGCATAGATGTTGCAAGTAAGGGATATTGTTCTTGTTTGATGATTAATTCAAAATTTAGTAATATCTTGATGAGAGGAGTTGAGAGCTTTGATTTTATAATTGTTTGGTTGGAAATTATATGCATCTTGTGAGTATGTGCCATTGCTTCTATGATGACTACCTTGTTTAATTATTTCTTAAAATTGCTACTAAAAAAAAAGTCAAATGTTTTGTGGCCTTTGTTACTTGAGTAAGTATGCTCGTAAAGGTGTCTTTTCTCCTAATGCCCTAAAGTCAATTGGTTTGGTAGTCATTGGCAAAAAGCTCATTACGTGGGTAACTTAGAAAGCTTAAGGAAACTTGACAAAGTTAAAAAAAAAAAAAAAAAAGAGAACAAGAGCCAACACACAGAAGAGTTAGTTAATTTCTGCTCCAATGTTTCTAGTTGCTTAGTAACTGGGGGTTAGGCATGAAACCCATGTCAGCTTTTACGTCAAACAGTGACTTGAAACATGAATATACAAAGCATTTTGAGTTTGTGACTTGTTGAGTAACCGGGTGCTTTTATCACAAATGTTAGTATTCACGTCAAAAGATAAGTGTTAGCTCAAGGAAGAATGTATTGTATGGTTGGAAAAAAAAAAAGAGAAAAAAAAAATTATATATATATATAAAGGAGCAATTACATGGTATGATTGTTACGTGTTTTTCAATAGTACTGATTACAAGTTTGCATGGATTTATTTAGAGATATGTATGAACAAAAAAGTGATTGTCATTAACTCCCTTACTTGGTATTATTGAATTTTGAATTAAAAATCAAGTTTATTGTTGATATTCATGGTGTCATCTGTGTTATGGAGAATGTATGTGTGCTTTGTTTCTTTTAACTTTCTTTTGCTTGAGGACAAACAAGAATTTAAGTTTGGGGATTTTTTGATGAGTTTAATTTTTATACATTTATCTACCCGTCTTTTTGTTTGGAAATTAATTTTATTGGGTTTTTATAACTTAGTCTCACCTAAATTTATATCAATTTCATTGAGTTGTAGGTGAAGATTAAAGATTTTTCAACAAGTGACAATTTGCACATGCTGCAGTAATTTTGCCATAACTTTGTCTCCAGACATCGGATTGAGGTAATTTTTGAGGCATTGGAAAGCTAAGAAGCAGAGCTACAATTTATCTTTTATGAGCTCAGCCCAGTTCATTCAGTTTCAAGACAGAATTCCAGTGGAATATGTGGCAAGAAAGCTGGGCAGATTGCAGAAAATAAAGAAAGAAACTGGGCTGTGTTTCCAGGATGTGGGCTGGTAGCATACCAGGCCCAAAAAGGTTTAAGGCCCTAGTAGAACATGGGCCAGGAAGAAAAAGGAAAGAGTTTGGAGAATATTATATATATATATTCTGCTCTGCGCACATAAACAAGAAGAGAACGACGTCGACGCCAAGCTCGTTAGAGAGAAATCTGCAGAAGGACGCTGGGCATCTGTTTCCCCTTCTTTTCCAGCCCTATTTTGACAAAGATCTGCATAAGAGGGACGCTTCCCAGCCTCTGTTTTTCTTCTCTTCTCCGCCAGCCTTGGGAATTCTAGACAGCGACACACCATTTTAAGGACGAAGGCAGTTCGGCTTTGCTCTTCATTGGACTGATTTTGTTATCTTTAATTTGATTTCTACAATGATACTTTGGGGCGTTTTTCTTATTCATGGCGGTTGAGAATTTATTGATGTGCAGCTAGATTTCTTGAGCTAGGGATGGATGGATTTTAATTTTTGGATTATGTCACTATTTTTTTTTTTGTTTAATTCAAGATTTATTGGTCATGCATAGAAAAAATTGCATAACTTAGATCAGGTAATTAGCTCACATATAATAATAAAGAAAAAAAAAAAAGAGTTAGGAGCTCTTCTTCTTAAATTAGAGGTTTTCATAAAATTTAATGTTTATTAATTTAACAAATAAGTGAAGAATTAGATTGACTTGAGAAAATTGGTTAATTAATTGAAAAAAATTCAAATTAAATAAAATTAATTAAACAGTTTCATAACTCAAAATTAAATGAAATTTAAGCCCTAATTCTTTTTCATTCAGAGTTTATGTTTCAACTAATAAATGAGAGTTCTAACAAGAGAGATTAATTGGGTCATTCGCTCACTACCTCTCTACGCTCTCTCCCCTACGTTTTTAGGGCTGCGGGGAGAGCGCTCGGAGTCCGTTTCCTCACTCCCACTTTCAGATAAGAAATGGATTGATCCGTTCACTCGGGCTTCTTTCGAGGAAGCCCTCGTTCTCTCACTTACTTGTTACTAATTTCATATGTGATGGCAGAAACTATACGCAGGTCACTTAGAAAATTCCTTTAATTTAAATAATTTTATTTTAAATAGTTTAGTTTTACTTCATTAATTAATTAATTTAACCTTATGTAACTACACCAAACCGGAAGTCCTTCTTCAGTCCGTATCTGCACTCTGGATTGACCTGCAAAGCCCCGAGGTGGATCCTCGGGGTAGACACTCCGATGCTTAAGTCAGCAATAATCGGGGTTACCTTTTAAGCGGAGAAACAAGGAGCTTAGGGTTGGTTTCAATTACCTTGTGGCGTGGCCCTTAAGGGTATTTATACGTTCCGATGAAGAATCCACGCGGCATGCCAATCAAGATGCCAAAATATCCGGGATCTAATATGTATCTCCAGGCAGTTACTTCGGGACCGGAAGATTGAGCCGAGCAAGATATTTGGGATTTGATATGTATCTCCAAGCAGTTATTTTGGGACCAGGAGATTGAGATATACTTAGATACCAGGGCGTCCATCGTAACTTGCTGTGCACCGTACGTCCGAGGTTAAGCATCTCGAACCTGCCCTTACACTATTCCCCCCCCCCCCCCGGAGGTCATTCATTTGTGAATGATGTGAGAGGGGTATGGCATAAATAAGAGTGAAAATAAAAGATAAGTGTAGAGAAGTGTAGAAAACAATGACCGGAGTCATAATGGCCGAAGTCAAAGTAATGGGTAAGACGCTGGGTCACTGTGACCGTAGCCGAAGTGAAGTGTGACGCTGGGTCACTGTGGTCGTAGCCAAAGTGAAATGTGACTGGGTCATTGTGGCCGTAGCCGAAATAAAATGCGTGACACTGGGTCACTGTGGCCGTAGC